CCGAAATTACATATGTAAAACAATTCAAACGAGAAAACTAACAACCTAATTAAGTACAGAATAATGAACGAAAAACAAATATGTTACATAGCAACAGACTGAATTACAGGCTACTTGACCCGGGAAGGAACATACAGAATGTGGCGAGGTTAAACTCGTTTAAAGGCGCCAACCCTCCCCCTAACCTGGGACATAAACTGGATCTCTGTTGTGTTCACTTATCGCTACACTAACGGTGCGAAGCTTAAGATGGAATGGCCGACCAGTTTAACCTGGGACAGTGGTGTAACAGTACAACATAAGAATAAACTGTAGAAATCAGTTAAAAAAGGCTTAACTCATCATTGGATACAAATAGAATACATATAACAAAAACAGAGTGGACGTGGAAGGGTACTTATACATCACAACAACCAAAAGACTTAAAATACAGATCTCAGAGTACTCGCAGTTACTGACAGCTAGTTGAAAGCTAATAACAACTAATACAAAAATCATGCATTTTAGATGCATGGATTCAGTATACAATCCTGGATATTATGTTAGTTTTTAGTCTTTCTCCTATATAAGAACAAATCCATGTATTGAAAAATCAACAAAAAAAAGTTAAAACAAGGCATTTCCCTATGTAAATTTGTCGTCAAAATTGACGTTTTCTAATCAAATTTACGAAAAAACAAAAATGTGACTCCCATTTTTTTATTACATATTCCGATGTAACTCGATTCAAAGTACAAGTGTGCCGAAAATTTTAGAAATCGGGAGATATGCCATTCTGTATCTTGTTATCTTGATATATAAGTACACAGTTTTGGATTATGAAGAAAAATTGCCCACTTGCAGGGAACACGAAACTGCATTGAAAATGAAAAAAAAATCTGGAGCAAAATTAAACATACAAACCTAGGTTAGAAAAAGACACTACTTTTAAAAAAGAAATAAAAAAATTAACTTAAGAGATAAAATAATAATAATTTAGTGCAAATAAAAAAGACGAAGATAACTAGAATGACATCTTCTATGAGGGTGTGGATGGAGTTTACAGAATAGAGAATAATGGGCTAAAAAATAAAAAATAGAAAAGAAAAGGATAGGCCAAAAATTTAAGAATAGAGTATAGTGGGCTTCTAAAATATAAAGAATAGAGAATAATGGGCAAAATTTATATAGAATAGAGAAAAAGTGGCGTAAATAATATTAAAAATTAAAGAACACCCATGGACCTCCCTCCTTTTCCAGACCCTCTTTTATCCTATGACTGTTAAGAGAAAGAAGCGCCGTAATTCATAGGAACAAATAGATTTGAAATATATTATTTTCTCTCCTAAAGTCTTTTGTATAGTTGGAAACATTGTCAACTAGTTATACTTATTATTAAAAATGAAATTGATATCTATTCGTTATTTCATGAATCACCGAGTTAAGTTTACTAGTGCAAGTGATACGATATTCCCGGGCTTGTATTTCCTATCGTGATTTCCTTGATACAGGAGGCTATCAAACCAAGAGTTCCAAATGGTGAAGTTGAAATCATCCCTTCGTAAATTTTACGGACACCATCACGAGTTGGTTGACCGTTATGGAATAACCGTTTCACAGATGATATCGGATATGTTCCTTATGTCGTAACTACAATACCCTTCCCTTTTCACGAATGTGACCTACCGAATTAGACTATTTACCGGATTTGTAATAACATAAGCAACACGACGGGTGCCACATAAGGAGCATTATTTGCCTACCCTTCCGGAGCACCTGAGATCACCCCCAGTTTTTGGTGGGGTTCGTGTTGCTTAGTCTTTAGTTTTCTATGTTGTGTCATCTGTACTATTATTTGTATGTTTGTCTTTTTATTTTTGGCCATTGCGTTGTCAGTTTGTTTTCGATCTATGAGTTTGACTGTCCCTCTGGTATCTTTCGTCCCTCTTTTTAGAATAAGGGACAAAAAAAATAACGGACAGGAAATCACATGACAAAAAAAGTCACGATTTACCGTGAATAAGAGTTACGTACATATTAAGTTTGAATACCATTATTTACAGTGAACAAGATTTATATTTGGGTAGTTCATTTAATGACTTTCATTTAACATAGTTCTAGTCTTTGGTTATTTTTTACTTCATAGTATTCATCCGCTGGCGTTGTTACATGTCTCCTCTCTACTCTGACGTCTTGGGTAACATTTTTCATTTCTGTACTTTTGTCTTTGTGTTGTAAACGTTCAAACTTAATTTTTTGTGTAAATGGTTAATGAAACTTGGATGATAAAAACGAAGCACTCAGTCTTTCATAAATTAGTTTTGGCACAATCTTAGTGCTTAAGGTTAATCTCATCGGCTAAAAGTGTATCTAGTGGCAATTTTAAAAGGATTAACAGCATTTAAACTCATGTTGCGCTTGCAACCCTTAGAGTACTCTTTACCGTTCTCGGAACGCTCGGTTAATTTTTATTTGATCTACTCGAATCGTCTTTGAATTCTCATAGCTTAAGATATGTGTCAACATTCTTTTTTTACTGAAAACTTTACAGAAAATTGTAAGAGTGGTCATGCAGGAGCACCCTAATCTTTATCTTAGTTAATGGAAATAGCAACTGCAGTTTTTTCCAGCGCATAAATGTTGTCATAACAAACTAGACTAACAAGTAGATGCATCACAGGAAAGCAGTATTTCACCTACCCCCCCACACACCCAAAATAAAAAAAAACAAACACAAAAAGATACAATCAGAAAATCACTGTTGCTTGTACCTGAAGATGACCTGCGTCCACCAATGCTAGTTAATACGGGTGCAGTACTAGTCCATAACTTATGTGCATTGATTAGTAGATACAATCATGAAATGAGTGTGCGTCTCTTGCCAAAAGCAATTCACTTTAACATTTCTTTTTACATTTGATCCACCTGTGATTCTTTATTTTTGAAGCATATTTTACAATGACTATTAATTTATGAACTATATTACATGTATAACCTCACATTTTGAATAGTCATTTGAATATTTAGGCATTTTCATTGATAGATTCTTGCAGATTTGCAACTTGCATAATTAACTAAATTATAAATAAATTACAAATTATTTAAATTATTAAGGTCACGTTTGATACCTGGTATCAATAGATAAACCTTTAAAATGAAGTTCAACCTGCATAGGTATTACAACATCGTGAACGGGGGAGTTGTATGTAAAATAAAAGATGTCGTATGATAGCCAATGAGACGAATACTTTTATCCGCCAGGGACCTAAGGAATTGATATTAACAGCTTCAACGATAAGTATGATGCGAGTTAAAGATTGTAAAATCAGAAATGTGCCTAGATATATATATATAGACACAGGGGCTTGTCACCTTTTTTGTTTTATTTTTTCATTGGAAAATATTCTTTAATATTTCAACATATTTAGAGTTTTAAACACTTATCAATGCGATTTAACAATAACGGTAGTTTTATGTATGTTGCCCCTCTTTCCTTATTTTCCGTCTGTGTGGAAAGCAAGTACAATGATACATGTTTTAGACGCGGCTGTTAAAGGACAAATGATACATGTAATAGTAGTTATTTTAAGACTTTGCGTAAAATATGTATAAGAAAGAAGTACAAGATATTCCATTATTCAAACACGAATCATATACATTTCCGCTAAAACTATATGTCTAGACTTCGTCTTGTTGTACAGGGTACAATTGTCTTATATTTTTTAAAGATATGTTTTCCATGATACGAGCCCCTATCAACATTAGTGTAATATGTATTTGTCGTTTACAAATCTTCTTGAATTATGTTAAAACAAATTTACTTCGTCACATCAATTTTGTGACTTATATGACCTTCAATCTTGTTTCAATGTTATTTCAATTGAAAAGTGTGCAACGTAAATGTTAAATGCAATTATTGCAACAACAACAAAAAAAAACAATAAAACCCAACTTATTTGATCATGATATAAAAAAAGACGATTCCTGTCAAAGTACATATGAAAGCTGTAAAATTTTAGGATAAAATAGGCGGTAAATGGGATATCGAATGACTGATAGTTCGATAACTTATTTTAGTTTTGCGTATTTAAAAACAACACAATCAAATGACAACGGGAGCATTGTTTTAAGACAATTTATAAATCATAAAGAAATGATAATGATTTGTGCCTTATTATATTGATGAATATTGATACTAGCGGTGGTCTTCTATTGATCTTTTCGGACCAGATCTTTCTGTAAAAGGTGATAATTGTCGACATCTCGTCGATGGAATAATATTATCTATTGATTTTGTTTAATTTCATTGGTAAATTGTGTGTCAATTATGAAACGTGACTCATTGGTTCTTTGTTTGTAGTTTTTAACTTTCTTTCTCACACACAAGAAAGTTTTTGCAGAGGACGCTTTTTGAAGCACACGGACTTCAACATCTCGTGACTGGACTTAACGGATGAGGAAAACAAATATTAAAAATATTCGTCAATAGATTTAACGTTTATATATGTGTGCAAACTAGCCGATTCTTTAAAAAAAAAACATTCTTTCAAGATGTGTTTTGTGTCAAATATTATGTGGCAACTAATCTACCGATGAAGGAATATTTCTAGACTATTTCAGAAACTTGGACTTTTTATAAAAACTTGATAAATCGCTTGATAACCTTCCGAATGCTACCGATTTTAAATTTTATACTGAGGCCGCATATCTAGTATTGTTTAGGCTTAATTTGTATATGTGTATTTCTACCAGTAACCAGAGACATATATATATAATATATATGTCTCTGCAGTAACATATAATACATATTGTAGTATATGTCTCTTTTTAAAAAAATTAAATATTATGTTTTATAAACAAAGTGAATTATGACTCGTGCAATTCCAGAAGTTTCAAAGAGATACTTAAAGGAAACGATCGTTTTATGCTATGCGAATGAACCATCATAACTTCCCGAGAATAGAAGATTTTGATGGGTAAAGAAATTCACGCAGTACATCAAACAGAGAAGAGATCAAGAATCGATTTTGTAGACCCGATTTTTTTTTTATTAAAACGAAATTATTAAAATACATGTATAATAAATGGTATTACCAATATGCCAAAACCAATCCCAAAGAAGCTATATTTGTCATATCATAGCTTGACCAGTAATCTGATCTGCACCTTTCAAATATATCAGCAAATTAAAAGCAAATATAACTATTTACCATACATTTCTAGCTGTCTTAAATATCTTTCTTTATAATATCTTTGTATATATATTCAAAGTTACATATGCCCAATATATTTACACATACATTTCTAGCTGTCTGAAATATCTTTCTTTATCATTTCTTTGCATATGTATTCAAAGTTACATATGCCCAATATATCTACACATGTCATTGATATTATTATTTGACCACATTTCTTAATTAAACAAATTGTCTGCAAATCTATGTATTTACCATACATTTAGGAATAAGTTCAAAGTCTTTTGATATGTTCTGATTTGACATACATTTCAGCCGATTATAAAGACTTACAAATATATTCCTTTACAATACATTTGACAGATCTCTGCATATTAAAGGAAATGATGCTTTACACCCCTCTATAAAGTTCTCGTTTTGAATTGGTTTACTTACCAGGCAAATGTAGATGCACCTTACACTTTATAACCCCTATAAAATTATTTGAATGATGATGCTTTGCTACCTAGACAAAGAAACACATTTGCGGATAAATTTACATCATAGAAAAATACATGACAAAGATTTCCATTTGCAGAGGTATACAAATACATAAGTTTGCGAAAGTTTTGAGATGGTCATAAATATATGCAAATTCTAAACTTTAAAATGGTTTGATTAGGTGTTAATATATTTTATAAACCGCGGTCTCTCATAACCGCCCATAGGAGGGTATAGCACAAGAAATGTTGATATTTACTACATGTAAAGACAAGATAAACTAAATGCAGCGGTTTGTAAATATATGTAAATGTCGGTCTCTGAATACATTGACATAACATTTGCATACCTCTTCAAATCCGGGATTTCGTGTAGTGATGTATTATTTATATTCATTTCGCAAATTAAAACTCAACAGTAAAATTAAACTAGAGCAAAAAACACAAAGTTATCTACTGATATTGTTGTGCATACTTGTGATGTTCAAAAGTGAACCTGAGTTTGCCGACACCCTATACAATCCGACACAATTATCTGGCCCCGTATTGTGTCGGATCAGACAGGTTGAACTGTATCACCATGTAAGATTTTTAATTTGATTTATCTTTATGGTGTAAGATTCTGAACTGCCTTTCATTCCGATTATTTAGCAAATTAATCAATAATACACAAAGGGAACAGCGATAGGAACAATGTTTATTTTTTTTCAATTCTCAGTTTCCTGATTTGGTCATATCTTATGTCCTTTGGTTTGATCAGCACCCCAACGAATACTAATTATAGGTTTAAATTTTTCAAATATTTTGATCTTGAGCATCACTGAAATGACATTAATTGTCGAAATGTACATCTGGTGACGTAAAATGGTACTGTTAAGTAAACGTGCCTAAGCGCCCAAATTCTCGTTGAAGTATCATTGCTCCTTCTGTCAAAATGAAAAAATGAGATCTCACCAATGGTTAAATAAATGCTTATGGACGTTGTAAGCCAATCACAACGTGTTTGTGTACGCTTTTGAAAATATACTGTAGAATGGCGAATAATATATAGCTCATTGCATCGTTTATGTGTATCAAACGTTGTTAAATTTACCTATTGACCTCTTAATCTGATAACTAGGTGTCCGTGCAGAAAGTTTATTTTCAATGAACAATATATATCCAGATGTCCGGTGCTTTATAGAGTGTCTTGGTAAATTATCCGCTACCATTTTAAACAGGTTTATTTGTTGACGTAGGCGTACGCGGATGTCATTGTGTGAAAATCTTATAAAATAAAGTGCTTTGAATGCAATCAGATATAATAAAGAATGCTGTTGATTTAATTTCTAGATTTAAATATTTTAGCAGCCAAACATTCCCTCGGAAACTGAGCATTCAGTATACCTAGCACAAACTTCATGCTAAATTCTCTTTGTAAATGAAAAATAAATGTTTTGTTTAAGGATAGCTCCCTTGATTTCTCGAAGACATTGATATCACTTGACAGAAAGTACGGACGCATGTGCATTTTCCCACCATCAATAAATCGAAGAAGAAAATTGTATATCTTTATAGTTATATCTGAGATGTCAAGTCCATCTTCTAATTGGTTTTTCCTTTTCAGTTCGTCCACTACATAAAACACGCTATTTTTTAACATATAGCTTTTAAGCAGTTCTGATGGTTTTGTGCGACGTGGTCTTGTATATTCCATGTCCATTTTCTCCAGACCGTATTTTTTGGTTTCAACATCAATTTCAGGACATACGTTTTTCAAAATTTTTGCAAGAACATAAGCTTGTCGAAATTTATCTGGCAATGACTTCATAAGGCATATTTCTGCAGGAGCAGCTGAAATTCGCAACATTCTCTTCTTTGCCTGTTCTTCGTCATTTTCTTCAGTGTTACATGTTCGGCTTATACAGTGAGAGTTGTTTACAGACATTTTGAGTACTTTGGTTTGCAGAGTTAGAAAACAGCCAGCTGCTTTGATATCTGAATTAATAAGAGGTATTTTGTCGACATCAATATTTACTGGCCACCATCCTGTTTTGTAAACTGCCGGAACAAGATCTATACTTATTTTCAATTGTTTGTACACAGAACCGAACCAATATACATCAAAAGTAAACACTGGTTTGGCGAATATTGTCCCTACTTTATTTTCAACATTAAAGTATAAATTTCCTTCTCTCCACAAATGAGGTTCATTCAGTGCTCTTTTCAAATATTCAAAGAATAACCTTAAAAATAAAATTGGCAAGAAATAGCCATCAGCATCAGTAAACGGCAAGTAGTCGTCAACATCTGGTATATCTTTAAATTTCAGGGACGCGAATCCTTTCTTCATAGAATTGTCTGCCATAACAATGTCAGTGATATCATTTAACTTATCAAGACATAAAATAAAATCAAATTCATCTGGACGGCCAATTTTTGTTCCTTCAGCCATGCTTCCAGATGGAAAAACTGACATTTCAAATCTAGAATCGTATTTTTGAATTTGCTTGCAAAGCGACGTGACAAGATTGTTAACATCGAATGTAACAGAATCTACTTCAGAGCTGTAGTTTGGACTTGTTGTATGATATGATTCAAGAAGATAGTTCATGAAGTCTTTTAAATTCAAAGGTAAATGTAGTAGTGTCTGAATATCTTGTGGTGATTGGATACATGACGATATTATCGCCTCTGGAAGTGCACAAATAATCTCTTCGAACGTCCTATCTCCCAGCTTTGTTATTCGAGTGTATATAATGGTATGTTCTTGTTCTATTATGTCGGCCGCTTTTAATAAGGCAATGCAACGAACACTTCTGTGTCTCTTTGCTGTGTCCAGAGGTCTTTCTTGAAGATTATCGCGAGCATTTGAATCTGCACCATATTCCAACAAAAGCTTTATTTGTTCCTCATAATTGAGATACGCTGCAAAATGCAGAGGTGAAGAGCCGTATATATCTCTAGTGTTAACATTTACAGGCCCTGTTTCCATCAAAGCTTTCAGGAAATCCGGAAGAGGTCGGTATTTCATGATAGAACTTAACGCACTTCTTCCCCATCTATCTTCAACTTCAAAATTGGGATTGAACTGTACGAAAATCTCGAAAACGTCATTATCTAACGTAAGCGATAAGACAGGTTCTCCGTACATGTTTTGTGCGTTTAAGTCAGCACCACATTTGAGCATATATTCCATAAACTCTGCGTGCGACCGTCCATATAAAATACCACAGGTTTGATGCAAAACTGTGTTCCCAAGGTTATCATAAACATCAGGTGAAACGGCATAATCAAGAATTTTTCGAAAATTTGCTGCTTCACCTGTATTGCCAATCATTAAAGACCATGGCGTTTTCCCACGGATTTCTCTACTGGATAACAATGCCTTCAAACTAGATCCGGAGTACTTGTCTGCAATCCACTCAAACAATTCCACAATATCTTCCAAACGTTCATGGGAAACATAAACATGCAAAAAGTTTTCATTCTTTTTGTTTATTAGATTTAGATTGATGTCTGGAAAATTCGAAATAAAAAACTTTAATAATGATGGGTTTTCCTCCCTCAATGCAATAAGATGAAGGATACTGTCTCCAAATACAGTCTGATTGTTCACATCAATTCCAGCGTTGACAAGAACTTGCAAAGACTTTCTCAGATCGACCCTTGATTTCTGTTCAGGCATTGCAACATCATCTATGTCATCTGATGACTGTACACGTTCAAGATAATTTTCCATTGTTAAGAAATCGTCCTCCAGATCTTTATCCGAATCGGCACTTTCACCATCTTTTGCAGCAATGAGACTCTGAAGGGCATTGTAACCATTTATATCTGTGCTATTAATATCAATACCAGGTGACTTTGTCAAGGTCTCAATATTATGTAAACAACCAGCTATTGCAGCATAGTGGAGTGGCGTTTGACCCCACTTATTACGAGCGTTGATGTCTACTCCCTTTGTCAATAGGTTTTCAATGGAATCTTGACTACCAAGATTTATACTTTTGGTTGCTAAATGTAGAGGTGTTTCGCCTTTTGCGTTTACTTCGTTGTATTTACACCGTGTAATTTTTGTAGACATTTGTCTGTTGAGTAGCTCAAAGGAATCCATCGCTTCCCTTTGCATTATTTTCCCCCGCTTTAACACATGTCTTACTCACACCATCTACAATATACAAAGATTTTGAATATACTTCATGAAGTACATTTGAAATTGAAGGTATTTATTATCTTATATCGTATTTGATCAAAGAATTACCAAGTTGCAACGAATTTGATCTCGTTTAAACATTGTGACATCTTTACGTCAAAGTTTCCTTCAATAATTGTAATAGCAGAGTGTATTTCGGATAAGTATTGGGTCGTATTTGATTTATTGTTAAGTTTTTTTTTGTTTTGAAGTATTTTTATTTCTGTGTCAGAAAATACATTTAAAACCAGATTAAATTGGCTGGGTGGCTACGTTTGCCTCTCTTTTGGAAATAATTAAGGTAGATTCATGGTATACCGCCATCTTGGATTGTACAATCGCAGTACACAATCGGTCTAGATCTTTGCCCAAATCTGCAAATTTGGAGACAGATAGGCAATTTATAGATTAGACTGTTTATTTAATGAAAGAAAACTTGGTGATTTATTGTATTATTCAAAATGTTTAAATAAATACCAAATAATTGTGTTTTTATAATCATTTTTTCAGCTTGGCCATTTAAGGGGAGATAACTCTTCTCATATTTTATTTCAAAATTCTATCTCATAGATATTTTTTTTATGCACAAAAATGTGTTTTTTTCATGAACAATCTAAGCAAATTTGTGCAATTTCGTACGACCCGTAGCTTGAAAAATAGCACGGTGACCCATACTTTTTATTATATTTTTGGAAAAAGCATAGAAAAATCTTTATTTTGGCAAAGTATAAAAAAATTCTATCTGAGGAAATATTTACCTATGATCTACCTTAAAATCGATAATCTACTTTTTTCGTACAGATTGTATCAAACGCATCGTGCAATCAGGTGTAGGGGACAATCGTTAGGCTAACGCCTTAACCATGATAGCTGGAAGAAAATGTACGTATCCATGTAATCTTCATAATTTGTGTGAATGTTCAAATATTACTAACACAAATTCGTTCTATAAAATGTTGATTGTTAACATCCGATTACTCACAAAATTTTGCCAAAAAATATTTCGAACTTTACCCTTCCGGAGCATCTGAGATACCCCAGTTATTGGTGGGGTTCATGTTGCTTAGTCTTTAGTTTTCTATGTTGTGACTTGTGTACTATAATTTGTCTATTTGTCTTTTTCTCTTTTAGCCATGGCGTTGTCAATTCATTTTCGATCTATGATTTTAAATGTCCATCTGGTATTTTTCGCCCCTCTTAATTTTAAAGATACTTTAACATATTAAATCAACTGTCATATAAAACCTGTATTAAACTACCATATCTGTCGAAAAACTCTTGCACAAAAAAAGGAACATGATAGTTTGGTGTCTATTCATTGGTTGATAAAGTCTAACGTTTGATTTCGTCTGTTTTTATGGCTGCCTCAATTTAAATTTACTTTGGAGTTAGGTACATTGCTATATTTTTCATTTGGCGTAATAAAGTGCTGATCTCGTATAAACGCCAATATTGGGCAATAAAAAACATATTCCAAACATATTCAAAAATGAGATATCAACATATCCTTATCTCGCATAAGTGACCTAGAGGATAGTTTTCAAGAGCCAATATCAACATAAGGTCATACGATGATTTGAATACACTTTAAGCAAAATTTGTTTTAATATATTGTGTTTGGTCTAATTCAATAATTTCTTTTCCATGACGTCAGGCAAGCTTTTATGGCAGCTTTTACTTGTTGAATAATTACTCATACCCTTACATAAAAAGTTATCAAAGGTACCAGGATTATAATTTAATACGCCAGACGCGTAACATACTTGACATTATTAAAACTAAATGTCGATTAATTAAGCAAAATTAAATCATTATGAAGAGAAAGTTTGTTATTCTAATTATCTATTAAAAGCCGTGTTTCACTTACTACTGGATATGACTACTGTGTATGTCGCCTAGTGTCCATATTGGATTTTACATGACGTATCCTGACTACATTTAGTAACAATATGTAAACAAAGACTTCACCGATAAGGTCCAACAACAGAAGTTAAACAAAAAACGTGTTTATACCACAAAAGCTACCCTGTTAATTAAATACGATGCATCTACATATGAAAATGTTATTATTATTTTAAATTTCAGAAAATTCAAATCTTACCTTGACTTTGATGTTCATTTTCTGAAAACCTAAATTAGACCGAAAATACACTGCTATTTAAATCACCTATTGTCTCTCTTTTATCCATGTGAAATCGATACAGTTCACTTC